AGACTCCTTACCCCTCATGGCATTCCAGACCCTGTGTGATCTGGTGCCTGCTTACCTCTTCAGTTTCATCTTGTTCCAAATTTCCCTTTCCATATTCCCTCCCACCTTCCACAGCACCTCCTCTCTTACACACACCTGCACGCGCACACACACACGCACACGCACACACCTCTATTCTCCAATAGTACGAAAATACTCACACTTCTCTAACTATACTATTTTCCCTCTCACCTTGGCCTAAGCACTTGGTACATAATGCTGTCTGAAATATACAGTGCCCTTCCTTCTTCTACCCTAGGAACTCAGCTTAAATAACGACATCACCCCTTCCTCTGAGAAGTCTTCAGAAAGCCCCCCTCCAGGGCTGGGTTAACCTTCCCTATTCTGATTTGTTCTGGCTCTGTAGTGGGATTGCATTTCCCCCCTAGACTGTAAGCACAGTGCATTTTATTCCTCCTTCACTCCCCACCCCTCCAGCACACCTGGCACAGTGCTGGACACTTGTTAGCTGCCATCTGTTGAGTAATTCTGACTCATGGAGACCCCATGTGTGCAGAGTAGAACTATTCCATAGGGATTTCAAAGCTGTGACCTCTCAGAAGCAGACTGCCAGGCCTGGTGGGTTCCAACTGCCAACCTTTCAGCTAGAGGCGTTCAACGGGTTGCCCTACCCAGTACCTGTTCGGCACTTGTTGTTGTTGTTAGGTGTCATCGAGTCGATTCCAACTCATAGCAACGCTATAGTTCTACAGAGTTTAACTGCCCCATAGACCTTTGTTGAAGTGTGGTCCGAAGGAACACCTGGCCTGGGGAACTGCACAGACTCTGTGCCAACACACGGTGGCGCTGCAGCCATGTGAATTAGCAGGGGCAGCCTGGACTCAGCCTTTGGGGTCGCTATGAGTCAGAATTGACTCCATGGCAACAGGTTTGTTTTTTTTTTCCCCTGGTGACACAGTGGTTAAGAGCTTGGCTGCTAACCAAAAGGCTGGCATTTCAAATCCACGAGCCGCCCCTTGGAAACCCTATGGGCCAATTCTACTTGGAATTGACTCAACAACAGAGGGTTTGGTTTGGTTTGGGTTTTCCTCCATGTTCGGAAAGGGTCTTCTGGAGTCAGGATGTCTTGAAATAGAACACAATAAAAATTGACTATTTGTTGAAGTGAGCAACTACATATTTAAAAAGGATGGTTTTTGTGGGCATTTTAAGTACCATGGGGGGCTGGCAGGAGAGAGCGTAAACTTTTTATATCAAATTAGACTCCAGAGGTAATTGCCTACATCATCACTGGATAGTCAGCCTCAGGAGACAGAACAGGTTGGGATACTGGATTTCTCGGTTCTAGTAAATATTAGTTGGAATCTAGTTGACGGCAACGAGTTTGTTTTTTTTTTTTTAATCCTGCTTTTCTAGGAGAGCTCTCCATCAACTGTGCATCAAAGTTCTTTTACATTATTTCACAAAGGTGATAGAGGAGAAATTTCCTCTTGGGTGTCAGAAGCCCTGTGTTCAGTGTTGGTCAGGACTTTTGGGGCAAGTCACTTCACCAGTCCAAGCCTCAGTTTCCATATCTGCAAAATGACAGAGTTGCACTAGATGATCTTTAAGGGTCTTACAGTCCTTACACTGTGTGAATTACCGTGAACCAGACTGACTTTGTGACTGGGACAAGTTATCTGATTTCTCTGTGCCCCTGTTACTTTATGTCTGAAATACTAATAATAGTGGCAACTAGTGCATAGGGTTTTCGTGAGGACTGGATGCGTGGTTGGCACATAGTAGGGGCATAATAAATGTTAGCAATGCATGCTTTTAATATTATTTTCAGGTGCAAAGTAGGCCCCCTTGGGGCTCTTTCTCTTGCCATCTGTGTTCCTGACTCATGTTTAGAATCTCACTTTCTGCGCACAAGGGGTGTTTACTCTATGCCTCTCTCCGCTCCCCACTTGCTTTCTTGGCAAACAGAGTAAGGCAGAAAAGGGAAGGGAGAGGTAATGGGAAGTGATGGGGGTGAATGTCTGGGCACAGCCATTGGGCAAGGGAAGGAAGTATCGGGACAGGAAAGACAAGAGGGGTCCCAGGAAGGAGCAAGGTGGAAGGAGTGGAGCTGGGTGTGGAGATCAGGACAAGAAAGTCTGTCAGTAAAGGTCAGTCAGGGAGAAGGAGGTGACTAGATGAGCCCTGGTGGCTCAGTGGTTAAGAGCTTGGTTGCTAACCAAACAGTTGGCAGTCTGAATCTGCCAGCCTCTCCTTGGAAACACTATGGGACAGTTCTCTTCTGTCCTTTAGGGTTGCTATGAGTTGGAATCAACTCGACGGCAATGGGTTTGGTTTTGGTTAGTTGAGGATTGGTGGATCTGCATGTGAACACAGGATTCTGATTGCCAGTGAGGGATTCCAAGGGGTGGAGTTAGGGCTGGGAAGCTGGGGCATACCTCTGGGAATTGTCAGGTTCAGGTCAGGCATAGCCTGATGATAAAATAATAACAGGCCAATGTCAATCTCAAGAATGCCGCCAGGAAGGTAACAGATCTGGGCAGCAGATGCCCTTTCGGGATGAGAATTTGGAACATACTCTTTGTACCTGCCTGATGTGAGTGGAGATGGTGGTCTCTAAGAGGAGCGTGTGTGGCCACCTGGAATTCTGGGGAACCTCCGTACACTGGGCTGAAGGAAGCACATGAAGACTCTGTGTAGCTTTAGGCAGAGCAGTTTCTTCCTAAAGTGCAGTAAAGAAATTGGGAGCTAGACAGGCAAAACTTCTTTCTTGGCCCGGTGTTCAAGAGAGCTGAGAGGAATTGCCCCCATCTTCACCCGTATGATGGGAATCGGGATGAAGGGCAGGAAGGAGGAAACCCGAAAGTTGGCTGGTGGGAGGCTCCACAGGAAGTGGGCTGAGATAAGCGTACGCATCTGCTAGTTACTGCTGCTGGCCTCAGTTTTTAATCTGAGGTCCCCTCACCCTCAAGTTAGATAAGAGAACTTAGTAGGGGAGATCTGTGGGCTGTATTGGAGTAGGACAGCCTTAGCACAGGAGAGGGCACCAACCTAAGGGCTGCCATCTTTGGTAAAAATCATTCCACCCTAATGTGGGCTTCTGGGGCCCTGGTGGTACAGTGGTTAAGCCCTGAACTGCTAACCAAAAGGTCAGCGGTTTGAACTCGCCAGCACTCTGGAGTAAGATGTGGCAGTCTGAGTCTGTAAAGATTAAACCCCTTAAACTTCTAGTCCATTCTGACTCATAGCTACCCTATAGGACAGAGTAGAACTGCCCATAGGTTTCCAAGGCTGTAATCTTTATGGATGCAGACTGCCACATCTCCCCTCTCCCCCCACCAGTGTGGGTTGAAACCACTGACTTTTCAGTTAGCAGACAAGTGCTTAACCACTGCATCCCACTGCACGCTTCACTGCGCTCCTTCGGTAAAGATCCTATGGGGACAATTCTACTCTGTCCTATAGGGTCGTTATGAGTTGGAATGGACTCCAATGCATCATGTTTGTTTTTTGGTTACTGTGGGCTTCGGGGAAATTGTCAGGGCTCATACTAGGGAGGGCACCCATGAGTTGCTGACAGAACCATTCTAACTCCATTTTTCCTGCACCTTGAATGTTGTTCTTTGCACATGAATCAAGCTCTCCTGCTCCTTTCATTCACAACTCACATTAAAGTACCTCCTAGAATCCCCCATTTACTGGCTCGGAGCAGTGGACTCAGAAGATGGATTCATATGAGGATTAGAGTCTTTTTGAGCTGGGGTGGGATTTAAAGACCATCTAACCTGACCCCTCATTTAACGGGAGAGGAGGAAATGGCGATCCCGAGATTCGCTCACGGTGCCATGAGCGTGTGAAGTGATGAGTCAGGGCTAGAACCCGGTTCTCCAGGGTCGCAGTTTGCTGCTCTTTCCTGCTCTGTGCATGTTGTCTTCTCAGAACTCCAGTCCCAGCTGCAGGAGCTTGTACGCCCCTCAGGCAGCTCAGAAGGTGGTGCTTCGGGCCATCCACCCCTCTCTCCTGTTTCTGAATATTTAAAAATACGAAAGCCAAACTGTGAAAAAAGATCCCTTTTTCTTATAAGATCTTATATAACAAATATATGTAATAGACCTTTTTTTTTTTTCTCGCAGTTTGGCTTTTGTGTTTTTAAATATTCAGAAATGGGAGAGAGGGGTGGTTGTGGTTGGAGGGCCCTGGGTGGTACATAAGGTTTTTGCTCAGCTACTAACCTAACGGTTGGCAGTTCAAACCCACCCAGAGGTGCCATGAAGAAATGCCTGGCATCTGCCTCCATAAAGATTACAGCCAAGAAAACGCTGTGGAGCGGTTCTACTCTGTAACCAACACATGGGGTCACCATCAGTTGGAATTGATTCGATGGCAATGGGTTTGGCTTTAGTATACGTGTTTGTCAGGAGAGACAGAGTGTCTGCTTAGCATTTTTCTGTCCTGAGAACCTTGCTGTTAATGGACACTAACTTGTTAATCAAGGGAAATGAAGTAGTTATTTGCAGGAATCTTTAAGGCCAAAGCATTGAGACTCTCATTCAAGCCAGAAGCAGCAAAATCAATGTGTAGGCCAAAGAGGAGAGTATTAAATGTAGGTCGAAGGGAATATAGAAAATTCTTAATAAGAGAATAAAACATGAATTTGGTTCAAGAAGGAGAGTCTAGGGAACTGGACTTCTTTTCTGTTGAGGAAAGGAACTTCCAGAAAGGACAAATCATAGTGGGGAATGGCTGTATATTTAAACCTGTTGTCCAGGTTTGAGAAACCAGATGTCCTCAGGGTTTCATAAATAAGTAATTAATACACCAGCCACACAGTTGGTGTAGTTAAACATTGGGAGTTGTGGGAAGTTTGATTCTGTTCCTGGGAAGGGGATGACAGAACAAGCTGTCAGTTTCCTCCTCATCTTGTCTGCTGGGAGCCCTGCCCAGCCCAGGCCAGCTGTGAGGCCCCACTCCGCTCATGCTGCTGTGGCTTCTCTTCTTAGATGGCGGGGACAGCGCGCCATGATCGAGAGATGGCAATCCAGGCCAAGAAGCAGCTCAGCACGGCCACTGACCCCATTGAGAGACTCCGCCTGCAGTGCCTGGCCAGGGGCTCTGCAGGCATCAAAGGACTGGGCAGGTACCATCTGGGCAGGGGATGGCAGGGAGGCAGAGTAGACAGGACACAGCCAGGTAAGGCTAAGACTGGCTGTGTGAAACCCCCTAGCGTCACTTCCTCCCAGGGTCACAGCTCCTCACTTGCAACCTGCAGAATTTGGAAGAGTTGATCTCTGAGGTCCCTTGTAAATCTTTTGGGTCTTAGGCCCATCGCTGCCACGGGAGAGTGTGACTACTGGGCACCTTCAGGGGAAAGGAGAAGCATGCCCAGCAGCCACCTAGCAGGCCAATGAGAGACACTCCCTAAAACTGGGACTAATGGAGGCTGGGTTGAAAGAGGGAGGAAGGAACAGTGATTGAGATGCAATTGCAGAATTGAAAGTTTTGCCATCAGAGAGTCAGGTCTCTCACCTCCATGAGCACTGCCAGTGGGTTTCTGTCAACAGGGTGGATCCTATTCTCCAGCAATCTGATGATCTGAGTGTTCCTCAGGACTGAGAAGCCCCAGGGGAAAGAAGCTTGTAAGCGTTCAGAGGGCAGGTTCTATCTCTTTTCAACAAACTACATCAAGTGCCTGCTGTATGTTTAACATTTTGCACATCGTAGGGAACTCAGCCATGAAGAAGACTTCTCCATGCCCCATGGCGTACTTAAACTAAAAAGAGTATCTCACAATCGCTCTTCTTATTTTCATCTCAAATGCTTGAGTTCAGACCCTCAACATTTTTTCCGTGAACTCTTACTGTAGTATTCTTACTGGTTCCTTTGCTTCTAAGCTTTCAGTCCTCCAATCCATTTAACCCGTTATTGCTAAAGTTCTCCTATAATTTTATTTTGATGATGTCACTTCTTTTGAAAATTGTTCATTGATTTTCCTTCATTTAATAATGAAGTTAAACTCTTTTGTATTTAAGGATATTCAAGATTATTAGATTCTGCCACCAACCCAACTTTCCATTTTAATTCCACTATTTACTTCTTAATAGCAGGGCTTCCAACTGATTTGAGCCAGTTCAGTTGTGGCTGATGAAGCAAAACCAGAACAGACCTGAATTGTTACAATTTGGGTGATCCAGACAGATAACTGGAACCAGAAAAATTATGGGTCAAAGCTCTGGAGTGGGAGATTTGGAAGAGGGATAGTGAGCCTTTTAGGAGCTTAATGTGTGAGATTGGATTACTGGCAGGACGATGGAGAAGGACACACATTCCAAGCTGCATATTCAGCCACCATCTTTGAGTGGGGCACTGCTGTTTCCAACTCTGCTCAAAACACAGGCAAGAGATTTGGTTGCTATGCAATGTGTATGCAGCCCTTGTTTTTTAAGAGAGAGATTAAGTTTTTAGCAGGACTTCAACTTGTAATTTTTTCCATTCCAGTTATCGTTCTGGTTCACCCAAATTTTAAGAATTTAAGTATGTTCCAGTTTTGCTTCCTTGGCCATGACTGAATTGGGAAGAACCAGTTTGAAGTCCTGCTTTGTAGCTGTTCTCCAGCTCCCTCAGACACCCCAAACATCCCATCAAAACTTCTCCCAGCCTGAAATTCATCTCTTCTCCTTTCACTCAAAACTCTTGCTCATCCTTCTGGTTACTTCTCTCTCTCTCTTTCCCACAATAACTTTCTTAAAGGCAGGGACTGAGTCTCACATCTGTACTCCTCCTCACCAGGCTTAGTGTGTTTAATAGACTTTATTTTTTTAGGACAGTTTTAATTTTACATAAAAATTGAGATGATAGTGCAGAAACTTCCTATACACTCCCTCACCTAGAGCTAGATAGCTGCTGTTGAGTCAACTTTGACTCATGGTGACCTTTTGTACAACAGAACAAAATATTGCCTAGTCTGTGTCATCCTCACAATCACCAGCATGTTCGTCCATCATAGTTTCCCCTATTAGTAACATCTTATATTGGAACAAATGTATGGAACATTTGCTACAATTAATGAACCAACATTAATACATTATTATTAACTGAAGTCCATACTTCGTGCAGATTTCCTTAGTTTTTATATAATTCCTTTTTCTGTTCCAGGATCCTTCCAGAATACTGCATTACATTTACTTATCATGTGTCCCTTAAGGCTTCTGTTGATTATGACAGTTTGTCAGACTTCCCTTGTTTTCTATTAACTTGCCAGTTTTGAGGAGTACTGATCAATAGGTTGTAGTTGCCCCTCTTTTGGAATTTGCCTGATGTTTTTCTCATGATTAGACTGGGGTTATGTGCTTTGGGGACCACAGAGGTGAAGTGTTACGTTCATCACATCATATCAAGGGTATACACTATTAACATGGTTTATCACTGTTGAAGAACGTGACATCAGGATTGGAGGAAGATTCATTAACAACGTGCGATATGCAGATGACACAACCTTGCTTGCTGAAAGCAAAGAGGACTTGAAGCACTTACTGATGCAGATCAAAGACCATAGCCTTCAGTATGGATTACACCTCAACATAAAGAAAACAAAAATCCACATAACTGGACCAATTAGCAACATCATGAAAAATGGAGAGAATATTGACGTTGTCAAGGATTTCATTTTACTTGAATCCACAATCAATGCCCATGGAAGCAGCAGTCAAGAAATCAAAGAACATATTGCACTGGGCAAATCTGCTGCAAAAGAGCTCTTTAAAGTGTTAAAAATCAAGGATGTCGCTTTGAGGACTGAGATGCGCCTGACTTGAAACATAGTGTTTTCTTTTTATTTTTTTTAACTGTACTTTAGATGAAGGTTTACAGAACAAATAGTTTCTCATTAAACAGTTAGTACACATATTGTTTTATGACAATGGTTAACAACCCAACGACATGTCAGTGCTGTCCCTTCTCAACCTTTGGTTCCCTATTACCAGCTTTCCTGTCCCCTCCTGCCTTCTAGTCCTTGTCCCTGGACTGTTGTGCCCCATTAGTCTCGTTTTGTTTTATCGGGCTGTCTAATCTTTGGTTGAATGGTGAACCTTTGGAGTGCCTTCATTACTGAGGTAAAAGGGTGTCTGGGGGCCATACTCTTGGGGTTTCTGCAGTCTCTGTCAGGCAAGTAAATCTGATCTGTTTTTGTGAGTTAGAATTTTTTTCTACAGTTTTTTCCCATTCTGTCTGGGACCCTCTGTTGTGATCCCTGTCAGAGCAGTCAGTGGTGGTAGCTG